TCAATTATTGTGAAATGTTTAATGTTCTTTAGACCCAAGTTGAAAGAGTAGTTGCAATACTATTTTAATCACCCAAAGGAAGTTAGCAAGCTTGCTAAAGTGAAAGCTCAAGTTTGAAAGTCAAAAGAGTTATGATGAAAAATATTGAGAAGGTAAAGAAATAACTTTATCTTCCCTCTTGGTAGAATGCTATGATGTGAATATTTTATCTTCCCATTAGTGCTAATTTTTCTCTTGTAGGCATAGATGGATAGCATTGGGATTGAATTAGGCATGGTAGCGGGGCGGGGCAGGGGCGGGTTTTATGGTCCCTGCCCCCAATACTCGCTGGGGGTAAAATCTTGGTAGTCATCCCCGTCCCCGACGGAGTTCAGGTTTCCCTGCCCCGCCCTGTCCTCGCTCTTGCACTTTTTAAAAAAAAAACAATTTATTTTTTAATTTTTTATTTATAATAAATTGAAAAAAATAAAAGAAAAGTAAGATAATACAAATATTTACATATAAAAATTTATAAGTTTGCTTTATATATATATATATTGAGGGAGGTGGGATTGCATTAGTTGTGACCTTTAATGGAGGGAGGGAGTGTTTGATTCCTTGACATATAAGACAGGGTTGCAGGCGTCTCCATCCCATTCAATTCATAACCACATATTGAGGGCTCACAAGAAAACGCAAGTTCTTGTCGCCTCATTTTTGTTGGAGACTTAAATAGTTGATGCTGTAAGAATCATCAATGGTGCAAAGTCGATCCAAGACACAATTATTTTTCCCAATTCCGTCATTTAATACCAAAGGACCAAAGGCAAATCAATTTTACTCATTCTACTGTTCATAAAAGTTATGCGTGCTTAAAATTTATCATCCCTACCATCAATTTAATACCAAAGGACTTAAAATTTATTTTTTATAGTTTAATATAGACATTTTTAGTTTATATATATATATATATATATATATATAATTTTTTAATTATATTATTAAGCAGGGCGTGGGCGGGTTCGAGGGCGAGGGCGGGGTGAGTATTAACATCCCCGCCCCCACCCCCATCCCCGATTTTATCAATCGGGGAAAATCCAAACTCGAACCCGAACCCGAACCCAAACCCGATCAACGCGGGTTTTTCCCATCCAAATGGGGCAGGTTTGGACGGGTACCCCCGGGGCGGGTTAGATTGTCATGCCTAGATTGAATTTAAACTTATATAATCTTATAAATTTTTGACTGATATGTTGGCAAAACATTTTATATCCCATTTGGCAGGTTCCTGACCATGGGGAGAAAATTGAGCTTTTGGTGGATAAAACAAAGAACCTTCTCTTTCAAGTGTCACTTTACACTTGTCGCTCTTTATAATTGATTATACGTGTGAACCAAAGCTTGTTAATAGGTTCGTGGATCTCGTGATTGATGATTGCCATGACTGTCATACAACTTGCAACCAATCTATATGTTGTTCTATAGTACTAAATTGTCATTCATCACAATATTTTATGTTGTTTCTTGTAATATATTTTTCCCTGTAGTTGTTGGCTGTCATAGTCTCATAGGGATCATACTGTAATTCCTTATTTCTTTGCCCATTGTATTCATTGTACTTCTGGTTTTGATATATATAAATATGCATTATGAAACTGAGTGAAGTAAGACACACTCAAGCTTGTCTTTGGTATTCAATCTTTTTATTTTTCTTCTTAATTACTGTTATATATTTTTAAGACACTCAATCTTTGTCTTGCATTGTGTTTAAATTATAATGTTATATTGTTTTAGGTTAATTTAACAAGCACAAAATTTCTTTTTGAAGGCAAATGATTTTAGTGATTAATATTTAATAATGTGATGCCATAAGAGATTTTGGAGTAATTGGTGTAAATGAATTTTTCCAACTAATATAAATGTGCTTATTGAATTTTCTATATTGATTATTGATAGAACTTATGTAGAAAATGACATATTATACATCGGTTCTTGATAGTATCGGTGTAGAATGTGCCATATTTTACACCAATTCTATCAATAATCTATGTATAAATGACATTTTCTTCATTGATCTTTAAACTAACATAGAATATATTACACTTTCTATGTCACCTTAATTTACATTGTTTCCAAAATCAATATAAAATGTGCCTCCTATAGTAGTGATTGTTTCCAAAGCTTTACCACATGTCTGAAGGCTTCATCCATCATGTTGAAAACTGATTTGTTTGCACACATGTGATATACATCCAGAATCTAAAAACCATATCCCTTCTCTTTTTGCATTATGCATCTCCATATATGACATCAACAATGGGTCTTATTTTTCATCTAACTCAACAAAATTTGCTTCTCTATCCCGTGATAGGTACTCATATTGATAATGACCAAGTTTATGACTTCTATAACATTCAACCATGGCTTTATTGAAGCTCTATTTTCCCTTTCCTCTACCACATCCTCTAAAGGTTTCTCTACGACTTCCTCATTTGGAAAATTTCTCCTTTGAACTCATTTTTAAAGCATGTTATATATCATTTTTATTTCAAAACTTATTTCATGCATCGTTAAAGATCTGTGTAATTCATCAATAGTGAGAGAATAGATGTCTTTTAACTCCTTAATTGAACAAACAATGTAGTTGAACTTTTTTTTTAAGGAGCATAGGATTTTTTCCACCACTTTAACATCTAACATGTCTCCATAGTTTCGCATGTCATTAGCTATCAAAATCACTCTTGAGAAGTAATCAAAAACAGACTCCCCAACATTCATTTCCAAAACCTTGAAATTTTGACGAAGTCCTTGGGATTGTGCTACATTCCCTTGAAACTTTCTCTTCATTACTCCTATATTTGTTTGGATGTATCCATCTGAAGAATGGTCTTCAAGATTGACTTGTTATTTCAAGAGTAAATCTACCTAAACTTACATTGTTCAATAATTCATACTTTATATCAAATCTCAACGATCCAACCGTTGAATTTAAAGTTTTTAATGCACAAATTAAATTTGCAAACTTTTTAAAAAAAAATTAAAAATTGTTTGATACTTCGTTTCATTAATTCAAATTGACGGATAACATATTTTTATGATTATCCATTAATTTGAATTTATGAAATGAAATATCAAGTGATTTTCAATTTTTCGTCAATTTGAATTTATGGAACGAAATTTCAAATGATTTTCAATTTTTTAAAATTTTTTTTGCATATTTTATTTGTGCATTAAGAAATTTAAATTCAACGATTAGATCATTGAAATTTGATATAGAACATGAGTTATTGAACGAAATAAGACTATGTAGACTTACTCTTAAAGTAAACGGATCCTTCCTATATATATCCTATTCCTTTTGCCAACTTTATGATGATATTGTTTTTCTTTTCACCAATATATATATATAATATATATATGTATATATATATATATATATATATATATATTTCTAAGTCAAGTTAATATTCTTATTAATTCCTGTTCTCACCTGAGATTGGTCTAGTGACGATCTCTCTGATGAAATTGGTGAGCTTCCTCTGGTTCATAGGTTGGTCGCTCCAAGATGGGTGTGATACCTGCAAAAGAGATTCTGATGCTTATGTCTCGTATATATAGCAAGTGTACCTTGATGATTTTAGGGTTATCTCTATCTACCGGCACATTGGCAATTTTAGAGTTTTCCTTGTGATTGCGGCACGGTGACAAGATTATATCTTTATCTTTCTAATGACGTGACCTTTTTGAGCCAATGTGATACTCCGATGTCCTTATTTATTGGCCGAGCTTAGTAACTTGACAGTGACGAATTCATTACTTGGCCAGGTCAGTAAACCTTTGACCGAGTTTGACAACTTGATAAGGGACGAGTTCAATACTCGACTAGGCCCGTGCACTTCCTAATACATCTGAAGTAAAGTTATAACAACATTTTCTTTCAATTTATATTTATGGTATGATGTAGGTGTCTAACTTGAAGCATATCAACGTTTTGTTTTCGGTTAATTACTTCTCTACAACTCAATCTATACTATACATGTGAGTTGCATGGTTCAAAATTTTGTTCCCACCTTCAACTTGAAAAGATAACGCGAGCGGTGGGGTAATGATACATCTTTTCAAATGTGAATATATTGGTGGTCAATGGTCAAACAAGCAACAAACCATTATAATTTATTTTACACGTGAGGTGTTGATTATAATCTCGATTTTCCGTATGGAAAGCTTTGATGAAAGTGGAAGGAAGAAAGGAAGATTATAGAGAGGGCTTTTCGTTTTGTACAGTAATATTTATAACATGAAAAGGAGTTAACATGGACAATGAGAGACAGAGAAAGTGATGTGGTCTAAGTCTGAAATGCTCGATCATGTCACTTCTTTTAATGAGGAGATGATAGCAAGAGCATTATACAAAGCAAAGGCAAACGGAGTCTTTGATGGTGTTGGTGTCCCTCCCATCCCACTATCAAAAAAGGTACAGTAACTTGAAAGAGAAAGAGAACAAACCAACGTCTACATTGTATATCGTTAGCTGTCAAGCATTGAGCCGTCCCAGGTCAAAACCAGAGTATTGGACTTTTGGACCCATTAACATAACATGCATTAAAAGACGAGTATTTCATTTGCACCAAACCACAAAAGTAGCTTACAAACAATCTTTCTATTCACTTTCTACTTTTTCGTGTCCAATCACACCATGCTTCTGGTTAACTAAATTAACATCATGGTTGACTAGTAATAATTAGATTATTAATATTCATCATAATTTTTGCTAGTAATATAAAACAAAAAGAAAGACCGGCAGAACCAAAAAAAAAAAAAAGAACAATTATTCTTCTTCTTTGAAATTACACCACCCATCACCGAATCTAAAGTATAATTAGTTATTCTTTTTGTTTTCAAAATTAAAGCGAACAAAAGGAAGAACTTTGTATTCATATTTTTCTGCTACTTATATTTACTTACACCCAAGTCCTAACCTCCTCTATTATATATTTGAACGGAGAGGATTCATGTCCACTTTGTTTCTAACCACTCTTTTAAATTAAAAATCCTTACACTTGGCAAACATACAATACAATTGAATAGTTGTAGATGCCTAAAGCGAATCATAGTTAGTTTAAGAAAAGAGAAATGATATTTAAACGTAGGAGTGAATTGGCAGTTGTGTTGTGTCAATAGTGACTAACAGCAGTCCATTTACGGGCACTATAAAAGTTGTCATTCGAAAAGCATAATTGCATTAAAGAAAATTGTTAGTAGTAGGCACAGGAACAAGCACATGGTTCGTGTGAAATCTCTACTCAAGGAGACGAGCATGATGACGTTTCTTGCGATTTTTCTTCTCTTATCAGACCCTTTTGGTGTTGCAAATGCAAATTCTGAAGGTAAAACTTTTGACATATATTATATGTATGTTATGGTTCTATGGAGGCATTTTGAAGTGCTTGTAACAGGTGATGCTCTGTTCGCGTTGAGAAAAGCTGTGAAAGACCCAAATAACGTTCTACAGAGCTGGGATCCAACTTTGGTGGATCCTTGTACATGGTTTCATGTTACCTGTGATGATGATAAGCGAGTTACCCGACTGTAATTCTCTTGATCCTATTCCTTTCATTTATTTTGAATGCTATGTTATTTCCTTGGCTTTTCACCTTGCATGCCATGCTATGCAGAGACCTCGGACACGCAAAACTATCAGGCCCTTTGGTTCCAGAGCTAGGGAGGCTCCAGCGCCTTCAGTTTCTGTAAACTTTTATTGTTTCAAACTGTCTATCCAAAGTATTTGTATTGTATGGTTGAATTGAATGGTTTACTTTTGTATGTTTGACCTTGAGTAGAGAATTGTACAAGAATGATTTGATTGGTCCAATACCAAAGGAACTTGGAGACCTTAAGAACCTCGTCAGCTTGGGTCTCTACCAGAACAACCTCACTGGCTCCATCCCCGCCACACTGTCCAACCTCTCCAACATCAAATTCTTGTAAGTTACATTATATAGCCTAAGCCTAAGCCTGACCTTTCCTTTTGTGATACAATTACAATTACAATTACAGGCGACTCAACAGTAACAAGCTCACCGGAAGAATACCGAGGGAACTCACTAAGTTGGCAAACCTCAAGATCTTGTCAGTCTCTCCTATTCATATTCCTATACTTTTTAATATCCCACTTCTCTCCACCCATTCTAATTCGCTTTTCTTGTGTTATGCAGAGACGTATCAAACAATGATCTATGTGGCACTTTCCCTA